ACACATGGTCTTGGCAGACCTGTTAGGCATGTGCTTTCTGCAATGGAGTGTCTCTGAAGTGGTGAACTCGTGCATCAGGGGATCATCGGGGCACGGCGTCTCTGGTGGTGGCTCGTTTGGCGGTGGAGGTCACGTGTCTGGTGGTGGAAGCGTGGGGGGTGGTGCCGCATTCGACGATGGCTGCGGCGTCTTGTCGGCAGCTCGTGCCCCAATCCCAAGCAGCCGCTATGCCATGTGGCCAAAAACCTCAAAACTCCAGATGCCAGCGATGTGACGCCGTTGTTCTTGCCGAGGTGGAGCCTGCGGAGCGCTGTGCTTCTCGGCTGAGTCTTCGATGCGCAAGCATTTTTTTTGGCGCCTCTTGCAACCTCTGTCAACTTGCAGACCCGAGGCTTCGAAGCCGACCCCGAACTCGCCAGGACGGAAGAACGCTGGGCTTCTTGCCAGAAGTGGTCACAAGGGCCGTGGGGCCACTGCGTAGTTTGAGTTTTTGGTTTTGGGCGGTTTGGTCTGATGACTTTGCCAGCTGAGACCTACGTCGGTGCAGGCCAGGGCCATGCCATGCGTATGCGTGCACCCGAACCCGTACGTACGTCGTTGAACAAGGGCGCATGACGTGTTTGCAGCTGTTGACCGTTGGCGAGCCTTGGAAATCCGGACAACTTCTGAAAGTAGCTGCTCAGTAGCTGCTGCCCGCGCAGGTCAGGGAACTTACACTCAGGCTTCCAGCATGGACTACGTCGGACATGGGCCGCCCTGCAAGATTCAGACGTGTCGTTTTTTGCTTTTTTCAAGTAGCAAACCCAAAGCCCTGCACTCCGAGCAGTGCCGGTGGAGGGCCGGTACTGTAGCCCATGTAGCCAATTTGCCAGTCGCGGCGACTTCGAGAAGGAGAAGGTGACTGTGGGCGGCGGTGCTTTGGCTTAGCTGGAAGGATGTGGGTCGTGTTGCACAGCTCGCAGCTCAGGTGTGCGGCCAGCACCTCAATATCTGTCGCACGCAGATCGCAGGCCATTGTAGGCTCCGGCTGCAACTTCTGGGCCTCAAGGTTCCGGGCAATGTGCGCGTTCTTCCTGTGCTTCCTGCTCTTTGTGATTCTTGGGCTCCTGATCTACCTGTTTTGGTCGGGGGCCCGGGCAGAGGCTCAGTGCACGCTTTAGAGCGCTTGAGCGCGCTGCGCGCACTTTAGCGCGCACCTGCTTTGCACACGCTTTGCTGCGTTCTCTGCTCCTCGAGGCCCTTCTACAGCAGCCCGGGAGCTGACGTGATCGCGTCGGCCCCAGTCTCTATTGCATCACCGGGCCAGCGCGAGCCCGGCTCGATTTCGGGGGAAGACACGGAAGCACGGGAGAAGCATGGAGGACCCCTGCGCGGCGACCACGGCGGTGGGCGCCATGCCGGCCATGCAGCGCGAGGCCTGCTGCGCGCAAGGCTACGGGGCCTTCTGCACGGCGACGAAAGCACCGGTCATCATTCATGACAAGCTCCTCGGCAACGGATCCTCTTGTGCTGTCTCGTAGGAATGTAGGACGATGTAGGAAGGTCCCTATCACTGTTGCGATGCTCTTTCTGCTGTCCAAGTCCATGACAAACGTAAGGTACTATACCAACGTGAGGACGGCATGCATCCTCAGATGGAGCAGCTCTTGGGATTGTGGGAAGTGAGGAAATTCGTAGAGGTGCAAGGCAGCCGGCACTCACAGGTGTTGCTTGGAGCCATGTGCCTTCGTCGGAGAGCCTGCTGCCTAAAGTAAACACGGCGGTATAGATGGATCAAAGGTTTGCTAGTATGTGAGAGTTGCACGATGCTGCACATGTGATGCGTTGGAGATACTTTGAGTGCGTCAGGCTTCAGTAGTGAGAACGGCTTCAAAACCCAACAAGGCTCCGAGCAGTCGAGGCATCACCCACGGAGAGAGCTAGACGGTGGGTGTTGCGAATGTGTTTGAGCAAAGCATTTCAAAAGAAGAAACATGAAAAGAGGAAAAGAAACCATAGATATCGTGAATATCATGTCTGTTGTATAGTATATAGAGGTTGTCTACAGCATATGTATGTGTATATATATATATATAGAGGAAGGTGTATATATATATATATATATATATAAACAACGTATATGTGCAACATCTACGGTCTACATATATATATATATATATATATATTTAATGGCTACCGCCAATGCCACCGACCCCGACAGGAGGCCCTAGGGTTTACACAAACACCCCCTACATTGCGCTTACATATATCCATAGGTTCTAGAGTTCAGGGGGGGCGAAACATTGAGTCTTCACGCGCAGGGAGTTGGCGCGCAACCTTAAACCCTAAACCTCACACCTTAAACTCGAAACCCTGAACCCTTAAACCCCAAACTACTAAACCCTCAACCCCCTTAACCAGGAGAGCCGAACCGGGGTGAGGGGGGGGGGTAAGCGGTGATGGCAGGGGGGTGGGGGGGGGGTTGGGGGCAGAGGTGAAGGGGTGAAGGCGGGGCGGGGGGGGGGGCGGGGTGGGCGGGGGGGGGGGGGGGGGGGGGGGGGTCCGGGCATGCACTGGAGCCCCTCATTCGCTTCATTTCCTCGTAAAAGGCAAGGGGTAGGGGTGAGGTGGGGGGTAGGGGTCCGGGCATGCCCTGAACCCCTGACACTTCATTTCCAAGTAAAAGGTCAGGGGTAGGGGTGAGGTGGGGGGTAAGGGGTGAGGGCGGGGGGGGGGAGGCGGGGGGGCAGTGGGCGGGGTGGGCGGGGGGGGGGCGGGAGGGGTCCGGGCATGCACTGGAGCCCCTAAAACACTTCATTTCCAAGTAAAAGGTTAGGGGGGAGGTGGGGGGGCATGCGCTGGAGCCCCTAAGAGGGTAAGGGTGAGGTCGAGGGGGTGAGGGCGGGGGGGTTTGGGCATGAGGGCAAATGGGTCTTCACTGACGCCTCCCCCGCTAAAGCAGGGGTCGGCGGATATGTGTGTGTGTGTGTGGCTGGATCCATTCCGTAAATGTGTGACGGACATTTCTGACGCAGAGGTAACCTTCTGTCACCTTTCAGAGTGTTCATGGTTAAGTTGACCGGTGCTTCTGAACAGATGGGCGAGCGTTGCTCTGAAGTCAGAAATGCTGAGGGGGACACGCGTGCCAGATGGCTCTCATGGGACCTTGCGAATCAACCGTGATTCCATTACACTGATTACACCATGGGCGAGGTCGTTTGTTCACGGATGCCTGTACGTTCTGGGTTGCCCACTGCCAGAGACCTTGCACGGCAAGCCATGGCAAGCCAGTATGTGCGGATTGGAACGAAAGGGGAGATGCAAAGCACAAGTGCCTCGCCCGCATGTTGCGTGTTGGCAACGGCTTCACAACGGCCATGTCTGGCTGCTGCCCACCGACGGCGTGAAGCCCATCTCCCCCGTGCCCCGCATTGTGCGGAGCCGGGGGCCGGGGGGTAAACACAAACCCAGCCAAGCAGCTCAGGCACCTCAGGATTTCATGGTGCTGTGCAACGACTTCCGCTGGCTCCTTGTCTCCTTGTCCCAGTGGCTTGGTGGCGTTAAGTGAAGTTTGGGCAGCCCATGCCCGCAAAGAGCTCAGATGCCACCGCCTCGAGCCACACTGTGCTCGCCGCGACGTCGAGCTGCGATGTCTTCCGCCCCGCCGGGAAGCCGTGCAAGTGCTGTCGAAGCGGCGAAGCGGCGAAGCGGCGAAGCGGCGAAGCGGCGAAGCGGCTCCCCAGGAGTATCGAAGGGCACGGCTTGCAAAAGTTCCGTCAGAGCTGCCCGTGTGATTTGCCGCGCCCCTTGCGTTCTTCACGCACACTGCGAACAGCCTCCCGCCAAGTCCAAAGGTTGGTTTGTTGACGGGAAAAGCGGCCCCAGGAGCCACCCGTGGACTTGGAACCCTAAACCCTTTTAACTGCCCTAAATTCCCTAAACGGCCCTAAACCCTTACGGCCCTGAATGATCTCGCCTGTCCCGGAGCAGTTCTGATCTGTCGGGCCCATCCCGTGGCATGATCACGCCTTGCTTGAATGTGGAGTTGGGTGCCCGAAACTCAGCGGAAGTCACCTCCCCCTGAAATTTTTGCTCAAGGGTGATTTGCAGCCTTTCCACCTTCCACCATCAGCAACTGCCAGGTGCAAGGAAGACTGTTGCCTTACCTTTGCCGGACCAGGTATGGATGTTGTAGCATCGCGAAACGCTGTTGAGCGCCAGCGTCAGCATGCATGGTACAGTACTCGTATGGGAAGCGCCCAATTTGCTTTGGCACTGAGTGCCCATGGTAACGGTGTTGAACATTGAAGTGCCCTGCAACAGGCAACACGCATGCGGGCTCCTTGAAAGGCCAAGGTGAACGGGTTGCAGAGCTTGCAAAGGTGCGTCATGTACGGTCTCTGGCTTGATCCTGTCATACGTTTTGCGCATTGTCGTTGGGACGCCGCTGTAAGATGCAGGAAGCCCATGGCGATGAGGCGCTAAACTCGGATGTGGTCGATTGCTTCGCCATGTACAGAGAAGTTGTTTATCTTCCCTCTCTCTAATCCGTCATCATTCTTCTTTCTCGTCTTCTCATGTTCGGCTGCTCCCAGAAAATTGTTGGACAGACTGACTGCGACTTGAAGCCTTGTAAGATTGCTTCCGAAAGAAGACCATACCTTATCATGTGTTTCCATTAAATGGGGAGGGGAGGGCCCCGCCCGCCCCCCCTCCGCCCCAAACCCTGCCTATGTTTTGTTAAAAATCTCTTTTCCTCTGAAGTGTGACAGGAAAACTTCTGTTTCCTCTGTAGTCTAATGGAAAACCCTATATTCCACTGTGATTTTGTTGGAAAACCTCTTGTTCCGTTTGTATGTTAATAGCGAGCCCAGACAAAAACAGAAGGTAGACAACGCGGAGAGAAACGCACAGATTAATTCCTCCCCCCCAAAAAGAAGTCAGTCCGCACTGCTCGAGGCTCTCAAGCGCACGCGCGTGAGTACATGTGAGTGCGCATGTCGCTTGCAGCATTGTGCCAGGACGGAGCACGTGCCCCACACGGTGACGGTGCCGATTCCCGGTCCACCTGCTAAGGTCATCACGACCCTCGGCTTGACGATGCTTTGCGGAGGATTGCAACTCATGCCAGTACATAGCACACAAAGCCGGTTTTCCGCTGTTGCTCTGGCTTTTTCATTCTTTTGCATCACCACCAGCAAGGCAGAAAGTGTACGTCAAGCACCATCCGTTCGACTGCACGGAAGGCGCCGGCATCGCAGCCTTGGTTGTGGATGTTGTGGAACGCATGCAAGCGATGAGGGTTTTGCCATGTTTTGCCTCAATTCCAGCAGGCTATGCCAGCTGGAAGACCCTGTGGTCGCACGAGCACCAGCGCTACTGCTGCTACAAGTTGAAGGAGGCCTGCGTGTCGAAGGCCCCTGGGACGCCTCAAGCCACAAATTTCAAGCGCGGGCAGCAGTCGGAGCAGTCGAGCATGCGCATGCACATGTGAATATGGGCATCCTGATGTTGCCTGCCAAGGTCCAGTACAGGTCTCTCGGCTGCAGCATTGCAAGCTGATGCTAAAGGGGCCAGGCGCTGTAGGCCGCTGCCCATCTTGTAGTGACCAAGGAACCACTACAAGACCATCACCCATGTCAAGCACGTGACCGTGCCAGTGAAAGTCAGCGTGCCGGCCCCCCCGCCACGCGAAATCAACCACATCGTGAAGGTTCCTGTCCATGCGGCTCGCTCGCACAGGGTTGTCCTTGGGATGCTTTGTGTTTGCTGATAGATCTAAGCTCCCCAAGGATCCCAGGCCGATCATCAAGATTAAGACGGCTGGCCCGCCCCACGTGGTGAAGCATTACATCACCAAGAAGCACTACGTGCCTGAGCCCGTGCCGTCGCCACCGAAGTACCGCTACAAGCCTGTGGCAGTTCCAGTGAAGGTGCCGGGGAAGGTCGTCCACGTGCCCGTTCCGATGCCCGCTCAGACCATCTACAAGGAGATTCCCATCACCAAGGTGCAGCATGTGATCAAAAAGAAGTACTACGACTGCGTCGCCGGCTTCAAGAACTGGAATTTCGGCTGGTCCAAGACCAAGAAGAGCTGGTGCTGCTCCCACGAGGAGAAAGGTTGCCCCGGCACCTGGAAAGGGGAGGGGCTGACGAAGACGATCGTGACAGGAGTGACGCAGCACCTGGGCCATGGCCAGTACATCCATGGCCACTATGACGATGGCGACTATGGCCATAGCCATGTGCACGTCATCCATCACATCGTGCATCACTACTCCAGCAGCGACGACGACCTGGATATGCCGGACGGAGGTCAGGGTGTCAAGCCTGACACCTGGCTGCCCGATTCTGGGGACGGTGGGGACGGTGTCAAGCCTGACACGCTGCCCGATTCTGGCGATGGCGTCAAGCCTGACACGCTGCTGCCCGATTATGGGCACGGTCACAACATGGTCATCGGGGGCGACGAGTCCTCTCTGCCTCCGGAGTACCGGCACGGCCACATGTCTGACATGAGCATTGGGGGCGACGATTCCTCCCTGCCGCCCGAGTATCGGCATGGTGACATGTCTGACATGGTTGTTGGGGACGACGATTCCTCCCTGCCACCGGAGTACCGGCACGGTGACATGAGCATTGATGAAGACGATGATGGGTCGCTCCCTCGCAAGCTTTCTGATGCCAAGCATGGCTAAGCACTCGAAGGACGTCTATCGTGCTGAGCCGATGAGTCTGGTAAAAATTAGTGTTCGTACTGTCAAGCAGGAGCAAAAGCCCTTCGACCGCTGGGGGCTTACATAGTTGGCGGTCAGCCCACAAGAAGACTCTCCTCGTTCCTTGAAGTGGGCCACAGAAGGGGTGGCAGGCAAGTGTCCGCGAGAGTGTCGTCCATGCTGAGCTCCGAGGCCATGTCAGCGTCTCCCAGCAGAGCTGAAGACACCGTAACCTTTGTTTTCCCAGGGAAGACATGCCGCCCAGCATCACACTGTTGCAGAACGGTTGCAGATCACAAAATGTTGCCACGGGCGTTGTGTAAACAGCCGCAGCTTGGCCACTGACCCTTTAAAGTGTCAAGAGCGTTGTGTGCGTTGTGTATACTGAGCTGGCATGAATCGGGGTCTGGGGCTCCTCCAGCCTCTGGCTCTTTCCCACTGTAGGTGTTCATGGAGCCACGTGCGGAAGTGCGAAGGAGCAGGGCAATTGCAAGATGCTCAATGTTCTAAATTGTTCCATACTGTATGACTCCTGCATCCTTCTTTTTTCTGCTTGCCTCACACAGCGAGCTGGCTTTGCCCAAGTAGCTTGCGGGGCGAATGGTTTCGTGGCGCGTTAGTGGCACATGCAGCAAAGCTCGCTTGTGTCAGTTGAACTGTGCACTTCAATTCTCAAAGCGCGTGGCCAAAATGAATTCAGAGTGGTGTCGGCAGGAAGCATCAGGTGATCACACTGCGCACCGTTAGGGCATCTGGAGAGGCCCCAGTTGAACTGTTGCACATGGTGCCCAACAGTTGGTGATGTTTTGAGATTGCTGAGCAGTGCAAGATGTGCACGGGCTGTACTTGCTGCGACTTGTGCACACCACCCACACTGTAGACAGCTGCAAACGACAAGCGAAACCGCATCAAAGCCAGAGCCGAAACATTCTAATGAATTATGTCTTCATGCCTACAGCGGCAACTGTTGCATTATGAAGTCACGTGTTCAGCTGCAATGCCACAATTTGCCAAATAACCTTGGCAGCAGTTTGCGCCTGGCATGCAAACCGAACAAATCAAAAAATCGTGCTGCCTTAGCAATCGGAGGGCAGGCTTACTTACCAGTATCATTACGCTCCAACCACATCCCTGCAATGTCCAATCGGTGACGGCAGAAAGCACGCTGTGTTCCTGTTCTGAGGCTCCAGGCTCACGAGCATCTACCGGGATTAGTGTCTAGGGCCTCTAAAGTTTATGCATGCGGCCTTGCAGACTATCTCGAAGAAGCTCCTTGGAGACTGCGTCGACATGAATGTGGTAGTGTTCCAGCTGTTGCAGCCGGAGCTTGGTTCCGGGTATTTTACAATGGACACCAAGGGTCCTTGGGGCAAAAAAAGTGCACTTTTCCAAGGGCGACTGGACATGAACATGACTGCACGAAGCATGTGAGCAAAAGTTACAAGCTGTGTGCGGAGAGGCTGGCGATCACATGTGCTCTCGACCTCCGTCACAAAGTGATAGCTCGCAGCTACGAAGCACAGTAGCGCTTCTACAGTCAGCTCGTGAAAAATGCTTCGAACCCTCAAGCCATGCCAGAGCGAGCTTTGGAGTATTTAGAAGCGAAGTTCATGTGCCATATGTGTGAGGCGATTGTGACTTGCATCGAAATGTTCTTCTGGGCTCGATCAGCTCATTCAAACCAGTCTTGTCGGTCCCGGCACCTGCTGAAGAGGGCAACGGCGTATCTGACAAATTTTGACATTTTGGCCGTGTGCTGCGCGGGTCCTCGTACCCAAATTTGGTGACTTTTGCAAATTGCAGTGCATGCCAGGACACAGCGATGGGCATTGTCTTCGGAGTGGGTGGGGGTGCAAGAGGGGCAGCCGGCGGCGGAGCCGCCGGTGGTGGCGGAGGCGGCAAAAAGCAGCAGAGTCTTTCTCACGGAATGTTTGTCGATCGCCTCGTTCCTAAGTGAGACATGCATGGATCTGGGGGCTATTTGAATGCCAGGCGGTTTCCTCTTCGGTACCCTCCTCGGCTCCACATGTCGCAACATGGGCAACATGTCTTGGGCTCCGCCCCGTGTTTGCAGACTCCCATAAGGATTGTCCAATCGCTTCCACTGAGTGCATCTTTGTGTGCCACTATGTGCTGAGACATGTTCTACGAGCGCTATGCTGATGGCAGCAGCGAAAGCATCAAATACGTTGGTGCAGGCTCCTTTAAGTGCTTTCGCGTGCTTTCGCTTGCGCTGCGACAGATTTTTCCGAAGCAGGAATGGGCGACATAGAGACCAAGCTCATTGAGGTGGGTGCAGGCGATGGGAACACGATGGAACAAGGGGTATTGGCAGAAACCTGACAGTTGCACAACGTCTGCCCGGTATTCGCCCGGCATTCGCCCCTTCTACAGCCTGGGTAAGCTGCGAGATTGTCACAGCCCGTGCAGGTCAAGGCAGCTACTCCAAGGAGCAAAGCGCCACCTATGGATACAGGTATCCGGAGGGCATTTTCGGAAAATCTGAACGGCACAGATGCTGGCTTGTGGCTGGATATCGGTGGTTGATGTGACAATATAAAAATATCTACAGGCCTTGCGGCACGGGCCGGCCTGGCCGTCTGAAAGCTGAAACTCGGGTTTGGGTTTACGGGTTTAGGGGGCGCAGGGAGTCGGGACGTAATCAAGAAGAAAGGGAAAAAGAAAAAAGAAGAAGAAGAAGAGAAAGAAGAAGATACAGAAGAAGAAGAAGAAGAAGAATAATAAGAAGAAGAGAAACATAAAAACACACAGAAGAAGAAGAAAAGAAAGAAGAATAAACAGAAGAAGAAGAAGAGAAGAAAAGAAAGAATAATAACAAGAAGAAAGGGTAAAGGAAGAAAAAGAAGAAGAGACAGAAGAAGAATAAGAAGAAACAGAAGAAGAATAAAATACAGAAGAATGAAAAGAATAAGAATAAACGAAAGAAGAAAAGGAAGAATAAGAAAAGAAAGAAGATGAAGCAGAAGAAGAAAAAAACACAGAAGAAGAAAAAGAAGAATAATAAAAGAAAAGAAAGAAGAATAACAAGAAGAAAGGGAAAAGGAAGAAGAATAAGAAGAAGAAGAAGAAGAATAAGAAGAAAAAGAAGGAAACAAAAAGAAGAAGACAAGGAAGAAACATAGAAATAATAAAATAATGAACAGGAAGCAGACCGGAAGAAAGAACAGGAAGCGACAGCCGAAACCCTATGCATAATCCTCTGCGTGCGCGTGCGCGTGCGCGTGCGCGTGCGCGTGCGCGTGCGCGCGCGCGCCGGCGCAAAAGCATCATTGGCATCAGCGGCTTGGGGGTGGGGGCCGAAAGTCGCGAAACACACGCCCAAAACACGACGAAAACAAGGTTTTCTCGAGAAAACACGCTTTCTCCGAGGTTTGGCGCTGCGTGCATACACGGCAGCCATAACGAGGAGTTTTTGAACAGTTTTTCGCGCAACACGCAAAACACACGGTATTTACCACGTTTTCGGCCCCTCGGACGCCCCCCGCCAAGCGAGCATCATGAGCATCAGCGAGGCCCTCATGAGCATCAGCGAGGCTCCGGAATCCGGGCACTACCAGTGTCTTGGATGCGGAGGATAGTGCCCGATTTTTTGTTTCCGGTACCCCAACAACCAAAAGAGCAAAAGCAATCCAGGCACTACAAGTATCCGGGACCCGGAAGACTAGTGCCCGGTACCGAAACGAAAAACCAAAAAAGAAAGCAAGACAAATGCCAAAAAACCCGGGCACTACAGGAAGACTAGTGCCCGGATTGTTTTTGGTTTTACGGTTTTGATGGTGCTCAGCTTTTTGTTTGTGCTCTCGGGCCGGATGAGTCCGCGCCCCCCCCCCCCCCCCCCCCCGGAGCATCTCTGAGCTTTGTGATACAAGCATAGAATGCTTTCCCTGACACGGAGCTGCCCCCACAACCGCTAGTCCCAGAGTTGTGTTTAGTTTTCGGTTTCAACAACGTCGGCCCGAGTTATGCGGAGGCTGAGTATTCCACTCAGAGGCTAATCGCATGAAGCGAACTACCGACCTAGAATATTGTCACGACAAGAAATGTAGTGACCATTGCTTATACAAGTTAGAAGAGTAGTGAGGGGAAAGGTCCGTAAGTCTATTTCACGGCTAGCTTTTCCAGATCAGCTACTAGACGATTAATTATGTAGTGACGAACACCAGTACAAGTCTGCCTTTCAGATCAGAAGTGTAGCGATCAGGAAGACTAGTCCATTTGAGAGCTTACCGCGCGAACTAAAATACTCATATCGTACAAGTTTGCTTTCAGATTACAAGTCTACCCGTCAGAATCGTAGTATGGTAGTTTAAATATGTTAATGACTTTTCAGGAATTCGAGTTAAAAGCGGGTCAGTTCCATTAAATCTACAACCCTTTGGATTTGTCAGGTTTAATCTTTTGACAAGTTTAGACTAGCCTCTTCTTTTGAGGAGGCATGCTAATCTATTTCAAGTTATCGAAACATCATTAACAAGTGCAATGCATTACATATGGCTACCTCGCAGATGCAGGTTGCCATCTGCACATGCCTGCCCAAGGGATGGCTGGATGCACGAAGTAAAGACCACAATGAAGAGTCTCCTACTTGTACAAGTCGGCCACTCAGATTAGTCTAATGAGGAAAGGGGAGGGGCATCCCCTTAAACTAGTACATTTGCGAAATTCCCTATAATGTGAATAAGAGAGATAGTTAGCACAATGTGACATCTCCCAATTATACAAGTCTACTCCTCAGATACCTAGTATATTCGTTCAAGGTGCCAGTGGACTTATGGGGGCGGGGTCAGTTCCATCGAGACATGGCCTGGAGCCATTCTTGCGTACGGGGGGACTGTAGTGAGAAGTATATGGCAAAGCCACGCACAAATGAATGTTATCTGCCCACAGTATTCAGATATGTCGATACTACATCGGTGCTGTGTCTTTGTTTCAAGAACGGTTGTACTTCCTGGCCTTAGGGGTGGCTATAGTGGGAGTTTGGTCCTGGAAGGGGGGGGGGATTCGCAAGTCTCTTGATGGAGTTTGTATGTACAAGTCGACTTGTGTCCGAAGAAACCCATCGCTTCTGCTTCAGTTTTCAGTGTCACGCCTCATGTGCCTGGTATTCTGCTGGACCGTTTTATGCGGAGGTTGGTCTAGGGGTTAGCATCCATACATACATACACATATGCTACCCGCCCGATTTGCCTACCAATTTGTGGGCAAGTTAGTAGAATATCTTTCCAAGCTTTAAGAGAAGCGTGCAGCAGTTTTCGGCGCCAACATACGCTAAGTGAATACATCAAATCGTGAAACTGATTCGCTTAGCTGCTGTAATTCAGCGGCTTTCTTACTTACTCACGGTGGACCCGAACATGTAGTTACTGCATATAGCCTTTCACTAAAGAATTGTGAGCTCCATTCATGCCTAAACCTTAAACTCTTAAGATTTAAACTCTACGGGTCTAGCTTCGAATGCCTAAATCGTAGACCCTACGCCCTTAAACCTGAACTCCATTTCAAGGTTAAGGGCTTAGGTTTAATTGCCGGCTTAGGTTACATACCTTAAGCCCTCAACCTTTAAACCTGAACCCTATAGGGTGTAAAGGTTAAGGGTTTGGGCTTGATTGCTTAATCCTATAGGGTTTCGGGGCTTCTTTTTTCAAACCTTTAACACTTAACCGATAGGGTTTTGGAGAATAAGCCGTGAAAACACACCCTTAAAATTCATAGGAAGCGCAGCGCAGCGAATGGGAGGGGGGGGGTGGGGGGGGGGGGGTGAGGGCATTTGGTTTGATCCTCGTTATATGACTTACATGCACTGCTTTCACGAATTTATCATATTCATTATATTTACATTGGTTATGTTAACTATTACTTGTCATGTTTGCATTAGTTCTTTGAAAAATATATTGTGATAACAACTGACTTAGACAAATTCTATTCAATATATGAAGATATGAAGCGTGCATGTATGGGTATTTTGATGGTCATTTTGTTGGTCAAAACTTACGTTTTTCCACTATCCTTACCCATTGGTTTAAAGGGGTGGCTCTGCAGATATGGCACTTTCGTATATCGCAGCCTTCCGGGAAAGACCCCGACCCCTTACCCTTACGGTGGGTTCTGGGGGCGGGGGGGTGGTAACATATATACGTTATATACATGTATATATATATATATATACGTTCACCCCCCCCCCCCCCCCCCCCCCCCCCCATGCATGATCTAGGTTTTCTTTTCCTATGAAAACCTGCGTAAATACCGACTAAACGACATGCTGGGTATGTACGGCCAAGTCCTGATTCTGCTCGTCTAATTTTCATGTGAGGAATACGTAGATGTACCTAGGTCTCCTCTTGTTTAGGGCAACGAAAGTGCTGTACTGTCGTCCCTAAAAGCCAATCCCCGAAGCCAAAAATGCCGTACGGTCCCTAAAAAACCAAATGAAACCAATTCTGGTGGCCTATACAGACAGGCCCTCTTCCAAAGATTGGTTTTTTAGGGACAGCACGGCACTTTGAAGACCTGAGGTGCTCAAAGTGCTGTATTTTCCCTAAAAAACCAATCCCAGAAGCCGAATATGCCGTACTGTCCCAAAAAACCTAAAAGACCAATTCTGGTGGCCTATACAGACAGGCCTTCTTCCAAAGAGTGGTTTTTTAGGGACAGTACGGCACTTTGAAGGCCTGAGGTGCTCAAAGTGCTGTATTTTCCCTAAAAAACCAGTCCCAGAAGCCGAATATGCCGTACGGTCCCTAAAAAAACCCAAAAAACCAATTCTGGTGGCCTATACAGACAGGCCCTCTTCCAAAGATTGGTGTTTTAGGGACAGTACGGCACTTTGAAGGCCTGAAGTGCTCAAAGTGCTGTACTGTCCCTAAAAAACCAATCCCAGAAGCCGAATATGCCGTACTGTCTGATTTAGCTGAGGGTCGACTAATTCAATTCATTTATTTGACTCTTCAGTAAAGAAATTAAGCCATTGGAATCCCTTAACTAAGTCAACTTCAACAAACAGAAAACCTGAGTTGAACAAGGTACCTTTTGTAATCTACTAGTTTAACTCATTTACTGAGCCCTTCAGAAAACCAATTCAACTGTTGAGTTTTTTTCACTTAAGTTAGCTTTAACAACGGCACCCTGAGTTAAAATAGGCACTGTATTGTTAAAGACAAGATTTCGATCCTTCATTCAATTCACCCTTAACCAGACTAAATGAACTATGGCTAGTTGGATTGGATGATGATTTCAACCCACCAATTAAAGCATACCTTTTCGGCAACCTGGTCGCATTGCCTCATTTAAGCGCTATTCGATCAGATAAAGTATGTTTTCTTTGTTGTATTTACTTAGCCCTTAGATTAAGAAAACCGATGCAGGTTTGAATTCTAGTGAAGGCCTATTTACTTCTTCCGTCTTAAACAAATTAAACCAAACAAACTAACTTTTTTACCGCATCGTGATTGAATTAGTTTATGTCATTGATGTCCTTGAGTAAACGGTCTAAATAAATTCTGCCCATGAAATTACGTTAACTAAGTTGAAAATACGCACTTACCAACTTTTTCATTGAACTCGTTTAGTCAATGGTCTCCTAAACTGAAGTCATGTCCTTAACACGTCAGAAAACTAATCAAACTATTGACACTACTTCAATTCAAGAAACAACAAGCCCTTCGTTGAATTATGTGCTCTGTGTGTGTGTGTGTGCGACCAAAGTGAACATATGTTAGCTAATTTAATTCATGCTTAAACGAAGCAAAATTAGATCAAGTTTCCCAACATGTTTGTTTTACTTCTCATGTAGTAACGGTCTTCTAAACTAAAGTCATGTCCCTAACACATCAGAAAACTAATCAAACTATTGCCACTACTTCAATGAGATTAATTTCAAGAAACAGCAAGCCCTTCGTTCAATTAAATACTCTGTAACAGAGTATTGTTTTGCAGCAGAACCTAGGCGCCGGAGTGGGGGGGTAGCATATATATATATATATATATATATGCAGTGGCTGCAAAGCATGAGGCAAATTGAGCCTCCGAGAGACCAGGTGCCGGCCGGCCTGCGTTTGCTGCTGCGTGTTCTGGTGCCGGTGGCTCAGCTTCCGGGCCAAACAGTGCCAAACAGGCGTGGCGCTGATGGGCATAGGGGCCAGCTTTTACGCCCCACACAGGCCTGCTGGTGCTGCTCTTCCCGCTTGCCTGGGTCTGCTCGGTCGGGGTCCCATACAGATTTGGCAAGAATGGATGCGCCATGGATCTGCGCACAGCGAGCACCAGCGCGGGAGTCGCTGGAGGTCCGCGCAATTTTCACTGGGGAGACCTGCTCCATTCAAGCGGACGATCCCTGCGGAGTCTTGGTAGCACACATGGAGCACCGGCCTTGCCGTGCAGAAGACGTGAACGCATGTCGGGAGTTCGCATCACATCCACCAGAAGTATGCGACACGCAGTATAGGACTTCTTGCCCTGTTCTAATATCAAGGTTTGTGCGCCTAGGGGCGCCTATGGCTGACAAACTCATAGCGCACAGCTTTGTTCTGCCTCGCCGTGCTTCGCGTCTATGAAGCATCGACCTCAACCTCCTCCCTGAACTATCATCTTGGTCCCTCTTTGCTTGCAGAGGAAGGCTTCAGGGGTCCTCTGGTGTCCACCCTTCTTCATGGCGAGTGCACGTGCAAGTGCCGAAGCCGAGAACAATGCCTGGGCGGCCCATTCTTGAGGGACGTTGTGACTGTTGCGAGCTTAGCCGTGACAGCTGCGCTGCGACCCGCTGCCTCGCAAGTTTCGCAAGACCTCGTAAGCATTTCCTTGCCCCCCGCAAAATGCCGATGCACGCCTCAGCTCCAGGCGCAGGCCAGAAGCCAGTGCTGCGGGGTATGCCCACAAATACCTTGCTACGATCCGGTCACCACTACTGAGGCCCTTGGTTCTCAAAGTGTCGTACCGTGCCTGTGTCGTTCAAGTATTGTGTTCAATTTATTTTCGGAAGCGAACTCACCTGGCAAAGGCCCCGAAATACCACGAGGTGGTCCGGCGCCACTACAACACGGTGGTCAGGACTGCGGAGGTGTTATCGTGCAGCTATTTCGTACGGGAACTATGATCAATCATCCACATCCTTCCGATCATTGGAACATACTGCTTTCTGCCCAAACCTCCTGCCCGCACCACCCTGCCAAGCAGTTTAGGGCTTGTGCACTGTGTCGGGTTGGGCCCTGTCGAATCAGAAAGACGAGCAACCAAAAGCCAGCGATCGTGCCTCCTAATTTATTATACGGTATTTTAGGAATTTAGTTTCTTCCCAGCCGGTTCACGCGCTCTCATACGCTGTTGACATGCTTTGCCCGTCCCACTGTTCGTACAGAGTCCATGCCGCGAGGAAGGTGCCGGTGAACCACTACGCTTCTTGCCAGCAGTGCAGTTCTTCTAGGATCCTCAAGCCTGTCGGCAAGAAAAGCAAGCACAAGGGCGCAAACATCGTGAGACAGAAAGAGAGAGAGGCAGTCAAGCCCTGAAGAAGAAGAAGAAGAGGAAGAAGAAGAAGAAGAAGAAGAAAAAGAAGAAGAAGAGAGACATCTTGGTGAAGTCCAGGGAGGCGTGTCTACATTCACCTTTCACCAACAAACCTTGGGACTTGCGCGCCTCTTGAGGCAGCCCTCCTTCGGGAGGGTTAAGCGTGTGGAGAGCGTTGAGAGAGAGAGAGAGAGAGATCTTCGGATGAGGGGCATCTGTTTTTACGGGGTAGTTTTCGAATTACTTTTCTCACAAAAAGAGACAAGCCGGGCAGCAGGCGCTGGGTTCCCGGTTCGGACCTCTGCGCGGAAGAGAGGGAGAAGTTCTGGTAGACTTCCGTTGGGCGTGCACAACAAAGCTTGGGCAGTGTTCCTGCATATTGCAGTCTGCCCTGAACACCCCCTAAGAGGAGAAGAAAACATGAGAGTGCCATGGAAAAAGAGAGAAAGACTTAAAGTGTGTCAGACGGCCCGGCTGACAACGGGCCACGCAACAGGGTGCATTCTCCATGCTAGGCAGAAGATGAGAGACAAGCAAATTGACAAAATATGAGGACGGCTAAGAAAGGAATTATGTAGGAGAGTCTTTCGGAGGCCTTGTTGCTCCCACACAGCAGTGTGTCATCCTTCATGCGGGGCTTCGGCCATCTCAGATGTGCCAGGTCAAGGTGCAGATGCCGCGGCCTGCGCCCATCATCCACACCGTCCACGTGGTTGCAGTGAGCTCAGACCTTGTCGAGCCCAACGCCCGATGCATCTGGTGCCGTAAGATGTGCATTGAGACCTGCTGTCTGCTTTCCCAGCGTTGCCACAATGTCCTTCTCGAGTTGCTCTTCGTTTTGTCATCTTTGGACCTTGTGTGGCGATGCGGGTCATTTGGGTCATTTCCTCCTTCTTTTTCCCTTTCCATCGCCTTTTCCTTTTGCCTTCTTCGAATCTCGCTGGCCTTCTTTGTTTTCCTTTTCCTGATGCTTCCTTTTCAAGAAGTCTGGCGCAGCTTTCGTAACAGCTTTGGGCCTTGCTTTGTTCTTCGGAACAGTTTAGGCATTGCTTTTACCATTGGCTCACTTGTCTTTCCAGCCACTGCCTTCGTCCTTTTCAACCTTTCCGCTAACTGAGCTCCAAGCTCAGCTGCCTTTCTTTTCATCTCGTCTTGTGCTGTGTCCTTCTCGCCTGCAGCTTTTCTCTTCATTTCTTCGAGGAGTTGCCTCTTTGCAGCCTGTCTAGCATCTTCCTTTTCTGCGTCTACCTCCATCGGTGTCGCTGGTGCTGCTGCTGCTGCTGCTGCTTTTGGTGTAGGCGCTACAGGGGTTTCACCCTGTGCTTCTCCAAGCTTCTTCAATCCTTTCTCCACATTCTCGTAGAACCCTTTCACGCTCATTACTCTTACCAAATCCACTTTTGTGTCGTTGATGGTTTCCTCTAGGAGTTCTTCTTTCACGTACAGCGACTTCATCTCCGTGTCGATCGTCTTGATTGTCGATAGCGCTTCTGCTCGCTTTCCAACTTCCTGAACCTCTCCTTTCCTCGACTTCCTTTTCCATGTACTCGAGGGTTCTTTCGGTTTCAGCTCTTTCCCCACCGTTTCCAATCCATTTTCCATCTCCTCTCGGGTTTGGCCAAGGGAGTCTTCTCTAACCATCGCATCTCCTTTACGGACTCAACTGCTTCTTTCACGATCTTCTTGATTCCTTCTAGCAGTTGTCGACCTTCTTGGATGACCTTTTTCATCCCTTCTTTCGGATCATGTTTCTTCTCTGGGTCTTCTTCCTTTTCGACTTTCTCTTCCTCTTTCTTTTCAACCGACTCCTCCTTGTTCGACGATGAGCTACTGCTTGAGCTCGTCTCGTCTTCACCTGCTTCATCGCCTGGCGCCACAGGTTCATCTTTCTCCTTTTCTTCTTCCTCACTTTCCTCTTCTTCAACGAACTTCTCCTCGGCTTCTTCGGCTTGCTCTTTTAGCTTTTCGTGGACTTTCCCTTCTTGGTGTCCTTCGTGGCTCTTCTCTTCTCCACTAGCCTTAGCCGATTCCTTTTCAACTTCTACTTTTTCTTCTTCTTCGGCAGTCGGCTTCTCTTCCTTTTCTTTCTCCAACTCTTCTTCTGCAATCGGCTTCTCTTCCTTTTCCATTTCTTCCTTCTTGTCCATTTCTCCACTAGCCTTGGACTTCGGTCCGGGCCAGTGCAAGTAGATCCTTCTGTGGGGGCGTGTTGTCCCCCTCCCGTCACCAAGAAGCCGAACGCGCACTTCGACTGCGCTGACGGCGGCGACTTCGCCACCCAGACCTGGTCCGGCCGGCACAAGAGGTGGTGCTGCTACAAGTACCGGGAGGACTCCCAGAGTCGTTCAAGACAGCACCTGTATTGATGCCCTGTGCTTTGTGCATTCACACAGACACACACACACACACACACACACACACACACACACACACACACACACACACACACACACACACACACACACACACACACACACACACACACACACACACACACACACACACACACACACACACACACACACACCACACACACACACACACACACACACACACACACACCACACACACCACACACACACCCACACACACCACACACACACAAACACAACCCACACCCACCACGCACCTCAACAAGAACGCACGGCACGCGCGCAAACGACGCAGCGCCGCTCACCATCCACTCTTATCGCACCTAGCGCACATGCTCACATACTCGCACAGCGCCCGCGCACGCTCAGGCGCACGGCGCACAGGCGCCGCTCAACGCGCGCGCGCTCGCGCGTCTGCGCAGCGCTCAGCGTCACAACGCACCGCACACACGCACGCACACTAGCACGGAGTCACCACCTCCACATCCGCACACCACCAGCACAGAAAATAAAGAAAAAAAACATCAAGAACGCACTTACTCACAACACCCACACACACAAACACACACAGACACACACGCAGACACACACGCAGACACACACGCAGACACGCAGACACACACACACACACACACACAAACACACACACACACACACACACACACACACACACACACACACACACACACACACACACACACACACACACACACACACACACAGACACACACACCCACCACACATCGCACACACCACACACACCACACACACAACACACACCACACACACCACACACACACCACACACGCCACACACACACACACACACCACACACACACACACCACACATCGCACACACCACACACACCACACACACCACACACA